ATTTTCGGAAACCCCCATATAGTTATCCCTAACCCTAAACCCTAAACCCTAAACCCTGAACCCTAAACCCTCATATGGTTTCTGAAACTCCCACATGGTTGATTGTCAGCAAGACTGGAGCTCCTGCACGCAATCCTTCAGCTTATGGTCCAACTCCACGCAAGCCTTCCCTGCCGAAGAGGGTTTAGGGTTTAGGGTTTAAGGTTTAGGGTTTAGGGTTTAGAGTCCCAACACAAGGCCATAAACCCCAAAGTCGACTTTTTGACCTCTGCGTAACCTTCAAGCATGATGCGTATGGACCCACCCCTAACACTCATAGCTGAACCCCAAACCCCAAGTCCAACAGCCTGGACCTTTCGTCACCTAGACCGAATCTCGTCTACCGCTTCCGGTAGCCCACAACCCTAAACCCTAAAAACCCTCGTGCCCTGAAGCCCAGGCCCAAAATCGCTGAAACCCTACGCCGCAGGTACAATCAGATTGTTGCGGAGCTGTCTGACGTGCTCGCCTCAGAGATCGAGCTGTGGACCTCAGCCATCTCCCTTCGGAGATTTTGGATGTTGTAGGCGGTTTAGGGTTTAGGGTTTAGGGTAGGGTTCTCGGCGGCTGAACAGGCTTGCCAACAGGAGTTTGCATGGGCTACAGCTCCGGGTTCGCGATTTGCGGCTTGGGGTTTTTGGGCTTTCGCTTCAGTCAAGCCAAGCCGCATTGCCAAGATCGTGAATGTTCGCTTTTACAATGAAGGGTCGCGCGGGGTGGCTGTGCATTACTATAGGGGCCTAAATAATTACCTATATTAGTTTGGGGGTTCCTTGTTATAATTATGGTATAATATACCCCCAAACCCTATTCTAATTGTGAAGGCCCCTAAACCAAACCCTTATAGTAGGGCTTACCCCTAAACTCTAAACCCCAAAACCCCTAAACCCCTAAACTCTAAACCCCTAAACCCCTTAACCCCGAAACCCAAAACCCTGCTGAAAGACCCCCAGCCCGAACGGCTGCAAGGTCCGATAAATGCATAGAAAACTCAAGATACTTCATTTTAGGGTTTAGGGTCTAGGGTTTAGGGCTTAGGGTTCATACGCTGCTGGAAACTCTCAGACCCTTGTAAAAAACCTTGGTAAGCCTGGAACACTAGACCCGAAGCCCTCACAACATGGAATCCGGACATAACCCAAAGAACAAAGAACCTTCTAGAACGCTTATAGGAACCCTGTTCGAATCCGCAAGCCGGATCCTCCCCGACACTTACATAAACCCCTAGAAAATTAATGTAGGGCCTCAATAATTGCCAATACTATTTTGGGGGTTCCTTCGTACAAGCGTATGTCAGTGATTGAGGCCCCTATGTTAGAATCCTCAAGCATCTTGTTTAAATCCCTGCAGGCTGGCCAGCCAGACATGGCCAAGGAGTGGGTTTCGCGTCTGAGGGCTGCTGGCTGCGAGCACTCTCCTCAGGGGCCGGGGGTGGAGGGGGTAGGGTCAGAGGGTAGTTAGAGGGTTTCCCTAAACCCTAAACCCTAAACCCTAAACACCAAACACTAAACTCTATATATAGGGGTGTAGTGTTGGAAGGTTTCTGTTTGCGCTGCCACCTCTATCTCTCTTTCTCTCTCTGTGCTGACAACAGCCCGAAGGCCGTCGAATGCCTGCGCAAGTCGTCAAACCCAACGCCGCCACCACCATCATCACCATAGTCACCATTGTCGTCATCATCACTCTCGTCGCCGTCATCACCATCATCAGTGCATCAGCATCGTCACCAGCACCATGCGCCCTGCCACATGGCCATGGTACTAGAGCTTTTGGCTTCAGCTTGTGTCCCTTCGAGGGCTGTGACTTTCAAACATGAAGTTACGGGGCTCCCGGCATTAGAGCGGAGTGGGCTGTTTTGCGAACAAAGGAGGTAGAACAAAACCCCACACTCGAAATCCAAACCCCCCATAACTGCAAGTTCTGAACACGAAGTCTTGCGAGGGTACACCCTAGTCAAGCGATCCGGGTAGGCCCTAAACCCTAAACCCTAAACCCTAAACGCAAGTCGGACCCCAAACTGAGAGCAGGGCACACGTAAGACTGGATATGCCTGACGCACCCGGAACCCAAACCCAAACCCGGAACCCCAAGCCTTTCGGGCCCGACACTACAGCCAAGAGCCCCGCACCCTACCCCCTAAACCCAAAAGTCGAAATAACAACAATAATAATCATAACAATAATAATAACAATACTAATAGCAGTACTAATAACAATAAATAACAATAAAAAGATAATAATAATGACAATAATAATAATGACAATAATAATAGTAGTAATAATAATAATAATAATAGTAATAGTAATAATAATAATAGTAATAATAATAGTAACAACTTGCAAACCCCCAATGCCCGAGCCCGGACCCCCGCTGGCACTTGAAAAGCGAGGCTGGAGACGGCGCAGCGCATCAAGCTGGCTCAGGCCTTTAGGGTTTAGGGTTTAGGGTTTGGGGCTTAGGGTTTAGGGTTTTGGAGTGCAGGGTTTAGGGTTTAGGGTTTAGGGTTTAGGGTTTAGGGTTCAGGGTTTAGGGTTTTGGAGTGTAGGGTTTAGGGTTTAAGGTTTAGGGTTTAGGGTTTTGGGTTTTGGAGTGCAGGGTTTAGGGTTTAGGGTTTAGGGTTTAGGGTTTAAGGTTTAGGGTTTAGGGTTTTGGGGTTTAGGGTTTAGGGTTTAAGGTTTAGAGTTTTGGGTTAATATGGGAGTTTCCGAAATTAGGGGTACCCTATTTTGGGCTCCTTATAATCGGGATCCTACTATTTAGGGTGCGATATTAGGGTCCCCCAGGCCTTCACTGCGTCAGAGCCTTCGCCCAAGTGCCCCGGGGCTTAGTGACTTCAGCACATCTGAGCCGAATCAGTAGGTCTTTGCGAACCCGTCTAACGCGCATCCCGTGACATAGTAGCCTTAAGCCCGTCCTTCAGCCGTAGGCCGTAGGCATGTTTTCCTGGTTCGGTCTTTCGTCTAAACCCCATACCGTTCTTTCTGGCTTGGATGGGTCGCCTTGCCGCTGGCGAGAGGCTTGCTTCCTGAAGGGTGATGAGCTCACTGCATTGTGGCACGGGCCCCAGTGCAGGTGCAGTATGCTGAGCACGAGCGATTCAGCAACATGCGGCATAGACAGCTGGCTGGCTAGGTAGGCCAGGTAGGTAGCCAGGCAGGCAAGCTGGCGGGCAGGCAGGCAAGGTGGTACGTAGGTAGGGGTTGTTTTGGAGATAGAAAGATCAACCGCTAGATCTATGATAGCTAGACGGATAGATAGATAGATATATAGATAGATAGATAGATAGATAGATAGATAGATAGATAGACAGGCAGATAGATAGATAGATTGATTGATAGATACATTGATGGATAGACAGATGGATTCGATAGATAGATAGGCAGACAGGTAGATAGATAGATACATTGACGGGTAGATAGATAGACAGACAGATAGATGGATAGATAAATACATTGATGGGTAGATCGATAGACAGCTAGATAGATAGATAGATAAATAGATAGATAGATACCTAGGTACATTGATAGATGGATGGGTAGATTCTCAGATTGCTTGATAGATAGGTAGAAAGAGAGCTAGATGGGAAGATAAATTGGAAACATGCAGACAGATAGAGAGATGGACAGAGAAAGCTCGTATGCACGGTAGCGGAATACGGTACAATGATGCCCCATACCACGCACTGATACTATCAAACCGCTCAGAACGAAAGTTATGGGGCGTTCCAGTGTCGCTCTGCCGAGGGGTTGCTGCTGTGCGCGGTTTCGCGTCACCGGTTTTGGGGTGTACATGGGACCACCCTTAAGGATTTTGTTATGAAGGGTTTCCGAAGACTAACTTTCGGAGATGTTTGGGCCCTCGGGTAGTTGAGGTGGCTGGAAAATGGACTACCAAGTTCAAGCGATCCAGGCCTCAGTCGGTGCACCCGAGGGTTGCCGCTTGTGTTGAGCTGCTGCCGCTGCCGCTGCCGCCGCTGCTGCTGTTGCTGCAGCTATGATGACGATGTGATGCCGAAGATGCGACGGATTACCAAGATTGACATGGTGGCCGTGCCACGCGCAGCAGGAGGAGCAGGAAGAAATGATCAGGGCGGCACAAGGGTCAGACAGAGAGCGGTGATGATGACAATGATGGTGATGGTGATGACGATGGTTCGATGATTCGATGAATGATGATGATGTTGATGATGTTGATGATGATCATGAAGTTCAAGATGGGGGGATTGCAAGTTAGAGCCTGTCCGAGCGTTGAACAACGTTTTCGCCAGTCTTGGAAATCAAAAGAACTAAACTTATAGTCGGCAAGTTGGCTGATTGCCAGCCAGCTGTCCATGTGTCGCAGGCACTATGCGCCGAAACTTGGGTCGCTTGGCAAAGACCCAGAAATTGGCTCTTCCCTCTGGCTTTTGGGAGCAGTTCCTCCACATCGCAACCTTTTTGTGCGATGCCCCAAACCTGCCACCTCGAAGTTGGGGCTTGTCCAGAAAGTCCATGTCGGAAGGTTCACGTCAAAGCTGAATTGAACACATCAGCAACATGCATCAGAAGAGTCCGGTCGTCGATTTTTCACCGCACAAGTTGTTACAGACCTGCCAAGCATAAAGCCAAAACTCACCGTCAAGCCGCGAACCAATTGAACCCGAGGCACTTTCGTAGACACCGTCACCACGGACGGCAACAAAGCTGGCGTAGGCCTCCGGCTTTCCGAGTGCCCAGCAGGGTCTCACTGACAGCCCCGGATCGTGACCAGGTACGACCACAACCAGCCCTAATCGTTAACGGTCGAACTTACAGTTTCAGCAGTTTTGTAGCTGCTGCAGCTTCTCATTTTCATGAGAGCAGTCATGAGTGCTGATCTTCTCATAGTCACATCGCGGGAGTTCAGGACTTTCGGTTTGGGGCGTGGCAAAGGCGTGGTGGCCAAAAGCGGCCGACCCAACTTCGGCTTCATCCAGTTGGAAGAGCCGCCCTTCAAGCTGTACTTTCGCCGGAGAGGCAGGGAGTCAAGGCTTGAGTACTATGGGGGCCTTCGCCCCCAGAGTAGGGTTCCCCAGCTTTTACGGTAGAGAGCACCCTAAACCCTAAACCCTAAAGCCTACCCCTCATAGCCTAAAAAGGAGTCGTCGACTTCGGTGGCGAGTTGCCGTCGCCTGGCACTAGAGTACGCCGAGACCTCAGCCTGGGCCAAGGAGGTCGTTCTTTGGGTTTAGGGTTTAGGGTTTATATAGGCGGGTTTAGGGTTTAAGGTTTAGGGGTTTAGGGTTTAGGGTTTAGGGTCGCTGGCGATTGTGGTGGTTTAGGTTTTAGGGTTTAGGTGCCCCAGCTATTGACACTGAGACAATGAATGGGCGCTGCAGAAGGGAGGTAGTTCGTCGGCCCGTTTCTAGTCCATCATCATCATCACCACTTCTTAAGATGATATACAAAACAATCGTTTTTGCTAACATGTCATTCAGAGCCAAAGGCACGGTTATGGTCTATGGGTGCAGCTCGCTTACCCCAGACCTCTTTTGGGAATGGTTGAGGCTAAGATTTGTCTAGGTTGCCTTGGTTGTAGGTCGGGTACTGGATTTGGTTTTGCTTGGTGGTTGGAATTCTTTTGTAGGTTTTGGGAGGTGCGGTGTTGTGGGTTTTGAAGGGTCGATTCGATGGGCTGGCTGAGAAATGGTCGAGAGGGGAAGAAGAGGATGCATCTCCTGAAATGTGCTCTTCTGCAGGCTAATATCGGGGCCTTAATCATTAGAATAGGGCTTCAGGGTGCATTCTTCTAAGGAACCACTAAAAAGCATTTTCGGCCCCTGTATTGACTAAACCTTAAACCCTAACCCTAAACCCTAAACCCTAAACCCTAACCCTAAACCCTAAACCCTAAACCCTAAACCCCCTACAGTTCAGGCTTCGACGTGGTCAAGGAGGACGGCCGTCGGCTGGCGACCAATGTGACTTCGGCAGATGCTCCTCGGGAGTCAGGCGGACGAGCGGTTGAACGCTGTTTAGAGTTTTGGGTTTGGGGCTTAGGGTTTGGACTTCAGGGTTTGGGGTTTAGGGTTCAGGGTTTGGGGTGTTCCGGTTGGGCGATGGCCTTGGCTGATGATGTAGAAAAGCGGCAGGAAAGGGTGATGGCGTGATACGAGGATGAAGATGATTCAATGGTAATAACGGTGGTTGATGATGGTGGTGGTTGGGATGCTTGATGGTCATGGTGATGATCCCGCAGGTTGTGACTTGGTTATGATGGCATTCTTGAGGGTGCTGATGCTGATCACGGCGATGACGCAGGTATTTGCGAGAGTCAGATGATGACGGTGAATATTCCTGGCATCCATCATCCGAGCGCGGGGGCCCACGGTCTCAGGCTCAAAGCTTTGAAATAGAAGTGCCCAGTCTTCCGTTATACAGTAGCCTGTATGTGACAATGACACCGTACGTTATGCAAGAATATCGCTACTTGCTACTCTCTCTTCATGTTTGTAGTTCAACAAACCACAGAGCCCAATTTCATGTTGGGCCCCGGTTGCAATGGCGGCTCCGGCGTGGCTGAAGCCTGGGACTCAGCGATGCACCGCCAGGATTTTGGGCACTTGGGTTCCGGGCTCAAGCGGGTCGACGGATCGGGGAGTTTGCGAAAATACGGGGTACCTTAGTTTGGGGTCCTTATAATGAGGATCCTACTATTTACGGTACAAAATTAGGGTCCCCTATTTTCAGAAACCCCAAAATCTCATGGTCAATAGTCCTTGATGACACAAGCGGTCAGCTGATTCACAGAGAGCTTTGCTTGATGGCATTCGTAATCGTGCGTTCCCGAGTGCTGAAACGAAAGCCATTGCAATGATCCTGGAATGTGCTGGAGCGGTTGCAATTTGTCAACTTGCTGACATTCACGGTTGACAAACCCTGCAACACCTCTTGCTGACTCTAGCTTCTGAGTTCCGCCGTGTTACGTTGACGGCATGTGTTTTCGTGACCATGTGCGCCCGAGAGCTGAGGGAAGTGAAGACAAGGCTGTGATGAAGCAATTGCAATCTG